CAGCGGAGGTTCAGGAGATCTGGGACCTCCACACTAGCCCGCTTAGCCAAACCAAGTTACATGGGGGGAATTACAGGCGACACGTCCTTCTCAAGAACCTACAGAACACTGAAAAATTTATCACGTACCAGGTCGTAAGAAGGCCTCAGAATCGAAAGAATAGGCACTACATACATGATAGTTCATGACCATAATGTGATTACACTGAGAATTAATGACGGGAATAATCTCCCTAGATCCCCACATTTTCGAAAACAAAAAAGCACAGACATGAATAACTCAAGGTTGAAGGAGGAAGTGAGCATCTTGAAATTAAAACTCTGTGGGCCATGTTGATGACGATAATGAAGGCAAGCAAGGAGATCAAAAGAAATATACACTAGAAATACATAGGTCAGGTAAAGAGGGGCTGAAAACCAGCTACGTGACTACCTGTGGTGCTTAGAGCAAACCCAGGGACCACACAAGCAAAGAGGTCGTAAGGAGAGGAGTGGAAAGCCGTCTCCGAGAAGACGTGAGCTCAACACAGCCAACGCTTCTTCGAAACACCCAACAAAAGAGGGAAACACCTTTAAAAAGACTGTCAAGAATAAGCAGTCACAGCTAACATTATGAGAGAAAGGGAACAGAGGAGATAAAGCAGAAACTCTACGGATTATCAGAAAACACTATCAAAACTGTGTACCATCGACTTTGAAAGCCTAAGTAAAACCCCAAATTCCATAGAAGTTGTAATTTTGAAGAACAAATCAAAAGCCTGCAGATTCTTGTAACTGTGACAACAGTTGAAGGAATGTTTAGGATATTCCCACCAAGAAAACACCACGTCCAAACCGTCTCACGAGCCCTACGAAACGACTGAGGAGCAGAGTGTCCCAATCAACAAGGACTTTTTAAGAAGCTATAGAAGACCTTGATTCGTCCTACAGGAGCCGTGTAACTCCACAGCCAAAACCACCCAGAGACAAAAAGGCAATATACCCACCTATGGTGCTCATCGATAGAAAAATCCCAAGGAAATTGTTACTAAATCAAATCCCACCGTTCACATAAAAGGTATTATGCCCTTTCCAACTTGAGTTCATTCCACGCCTACACAATAACTTAATGTTAGAAACTCTACAAACAGAGCAAACGTAACTAATGACGTGAGTCCTCAGCGCATTACTAGAAATAGAACAAATAATAAGCGAGCCAAACGCAGACCCATAGTGGGAGTGGGCGTGCGCTCTCCACCGGGGATTGTGATGAATCCTTGCAGCTGATCAGAAGGGTTCAAAGTCAGCAGGACAGAGGCGGGAGCCCAAGGGGGCGGGGGTGGGGCACAGGTGACTCCAAGTGTCACTAGTTCTCCAGGAAATTCCCACCTGGTCTTCCGGCTCCTGCGCCTTCTCCTGGAATCCAGCATCACCTCTGCCCCCAGAAAATCTTTTTTTAACTGCTTTGTTGAGATAGACTCCCCATACCATGCAATGGCCCCATTGAAAGTGTGCAAGTCCATGGCTTTGAATGTCTTCACAGACATGGGGCATCGTCCTCACTCAGGTTCAGAACATTTCCACCACCGAGTAAGAACCCCCGTACCCATGAGCTGTCGCCCACCAGCCCCCGTTCCCTAAGCCACCCCTCCCTCCAGTCCGTCCTTGCAGCTTTCCCTAATCTGGGCGTTCACAGTGTCACAGAGTGCGACGTCGTTTATGACAGGGCTGGTTCGCCAAGCAGACTCTATTCAAGATCCCTCCGTGTTGGAGCACATGTCAGTCCTTTTCATGGCCGGGTAGTCTTTTCGTGGATGGAGACACTATATGGTGTTTATCCCTTCATCCACTGATGAGCGTTTGGACGGGTCCACCTTTTAGCCATTACAAATAATGCATCTAGAACATAACCTCGTGCACGAGCTTTTGAACGGACATACGTTTCACGTATCTTGGATATATCTCTAGAAATGGAATTGCTGAGTCCTATGGTAAATCGGGACTGGAACCCCAAAGCTGCGTGAGAAGGAGGTGCATGAGAGGGACTTCAGAAACAGGGAGGGAACATTCAGTCCCCATCCATGGCAGCCACCATCTTCCCGGGGCGGGGGGGGGCATTTATTCTCATTACATCTGTACCATGCAGGCGGGTCAGACGACACAGCCAGCTCGACAGGAATTCCCAGCCTCATGGCCACGTCCCACTCCGGTCCCGGCCTCCCCACCTGACTCTCCCTGCGCGTTTACACAGACTCGGATCTGGGGTGCGGAGGGAGCCCTCCTTCAGCCTCCTGTTAAGTCACTTGAAAAAAATGCACCTGCTACTCATTTCAGGTTTGCATTTTCCAGGCTTTATTGCCCACTGCTCTTTAGAACCGGAAACAGGGAGCTTCGAGGAGCTACAAATCAAGTATTTACACCCGGTGCGACGTGACAGGTTTCATGATTTACAGAAAAACACAGCACACAGGCTGTGTCAGAAAAATAACATGTACAGTGAATAAATAAGCTACAGATTTACGTGTCCACCAGCAGGCGGCGTATAAAAGTGGTTCCCACACATATACATATATATAGACAAGTGTGTATGATTTCCAGACTATAAATACGCTATGTACTTAAATATTTCCTGTGAAGGGACGGAGGAGAGGACGTGCTCTCAGCTGTGCACGGCAAAATACTGATTGCAGTTGGGGTCGCCTCTGACCTCCACAGACCCCGGGATCCTCTCCCCGCTCCAGGGATAGACACACCAGCAGAGTCCCCGCTGGCCGTCCGTGGCGGTCCGGCACTGCAGAGGCAAGACAGAGCGCACGGTCAGGAGCAGCCCCGTGGAGCTGGAGGCGGCGGAGCTCGGAGCACAGTGACCTTGGCCGGGAAGGGCACGCCCAACGTGCCAGCCCCCCCTCCCCCATTCTCCCCGTAAACTAGAGACGAAGGCCGCGGGTCCAGTTGATAGGACATTGTGCATGTGTTAAACGGCCTCGTGTGAGCACAGCTGTACGACTTGTGGCCCCGACAGCAGGGAGGGAGCACGCCCCGTGTGTGGCCGCCATCACCTCGGACTCCAGGCAGACTCCCCCTCAGGAAACCACGGCCTCTACCTGTCCTCCTCCCCTGGCTATACACATCCCCGGACCCCGCGTTTCACTGAGTCCTAAAGAACGCCTCAAAATTAAGTGTTTGGTTTGGCTTCGATCTCGCTCATTATCTGCCAGGCTGGAAATGCTGCTGTGTTCCACTGAGCGGACCGTTTGCTTCCGTGGGGAGAGAGCACCACAGAGGTCCAAGGAGACACTCACTTTCCTAAGACGACCTACCCCCTTCCTCTGGTGGGACAGACGGGAAACAGCTGGAGCATGAGGGACCGACCACCCATCCACCTTCTCAGGCTTGCCGAGCAGCAAGGTCACACTTGAACCCAGAGCCCTGGCCAAGGAAGGGGTGGGTCCCCTGCTGGCCATGACCACTGAGCTGGTCTTCAGGCTCCCAGGGGCTGCCAGTCCGTGACCCCAGAGGAGTGGCCCTTACTTAATATGGTCGGCTGGGGGCTTTACGGTGCGTATTTGGGACTGGATACCCTGTTGGAGGCAAGGGTGGCCTTGCAGGGATGGGCCAGCGGGGGCCGTCCCCATGAGGATGCCCGGGCAGGATGCGCACCTGTCTGCTGTGATAGAACCCGTTCTTGTTGCAGTTGGGCAGGTAGAAATTGTTAAGGTGTCTGGGCGACTGGTGTTCCTCGGCCAGTTGTGCCAGTATCCTGTGGAGCTCTCGCCGGCACGGCTCCTGGAAGAGCGTTCGACATTGTGATAAATGACAAGGATAAGTGAACTGTCCACCTGAACAGGACTGGCGGGAGAGGTTCCATGGGGGCTCTGGGGGCGGGTCAGACCTGCCCGGGAGGTGAGGAGGGAGTTAGTGTCTGCAGGAGCTGTTGAGGTGCGTGGGGGGCACACCTACCCGCCCCGAACGTTGGCTGAACACCTACAGGGAGACCGGCGCTCCCCATCCCCCGGGTGCTCCCCTCCGCCTCTACCCTGACAGCAGTCTGACGGCGAGGAGGACCCAGCCCTTCCAGCAGCAGACTTTGACTGTGAACCTCTTTCCTCTATGCCATTAGGTCACAGAAGCCAGATGAAGCAAGGATTAAGGCATCCATCTGGCTACTTGGAGATGAGAATGAACTTTTCCAAATCGGGCACCACGCGCAGACAAAACCCTGAAGTGTCCAGGAAACGGGTCAGACCCCCACTGTTCCGGGGCTCATGCTTGGGGGGACCATTTTCTCTCTTTTTCCTCACACGCCCGCGCCCATCTCCGCAACTTTGATTCTCGGTCGCCCTCAAGTGGTAGGATTAAAAAGATGGGTCGAAGCGCAGGAGACCGCGGAGTCCCCGGTTACTGGGGACAGAGTCTCGGGGTGAGAGACGAAATAGTTCTCGAGATGGATGGCAGCGATGCCTGCAGTATTAGTGCCACAGAACTACACTGTGAAACGGTTCAAGTCATAAATGTCACGTTATGCAGACGTGAGCACCATTTTGAGAAACAGGGGAGCAGGGGCCTAGGGGAGCTTTGGGGCCGACAGACTCGTGTCTGAAGCCGCACCGTGGCGGGGCTGGCTTTCCACCAAACAGGCTCCCCTCTTCAAAGTCCCTGCGGGAAAAGCTGCTCAAGGCGGACGTGGAAAAGGTCTGTCAGGCCTCGGGGAGGAAGGCGTTCACCCCCACGCCTTCTGGACCCGGGGAAGCCCTCACCTTCAACTTGTCGGAGTCTGTGTCCGAGGCATACCCAGACCTCATGGTCTTATAGGTACTGACTGTGTTCCAGAGGACGGGCGTGTCCTCCTCAGACGGCGCCATCAGATGGAAATTCTCCAGGAGCTGCTCCTGGGTGATCTCAGAGCTCTCCGACGACTCCTTGGCATCTGACAAACAGCACGGCAGACCCCGTGAGCCCTCCCCGAGCTTCTGCACCTGACCCCTGGGAGCGGCTCCCTCTCCCGAGAATCCAGGCGGGGCTAGAAGGGTGGTCCTGTGGACCCTGGGTGAGGCCCACTTGACCTTCAACAGAGCTTCCGACAGTGTCCGGGAAATCAAGTGACCCAACAGCAATTTTGCAAGCTGGGGGGGGAGGGTACCCTGTGTGTTTGCTTCTAAAGTAGCAGGAAAGTGAAGCCACTTGCACATACATTTGCATTTGGTGTGTGGACAGAGTCACAGACAGCGGGCTTTCCTGAGGGGTCCTGGGGATCCAACTCCTTTAAGGACCACTGAAGATGACCACATTTTACTGATTCTGAAGACAGAGAACCAGTAGGAACACTGTGCCCCTCCTTGCAAGGGTCACGCTCTCTGGCAGATTCCCTACTAGGACACAGAACGACGGGATTCCTCCCACAAGGACGCAGGACAGGGCAGCCACTGGCCCGGATGGGGAGGTAAGGAGAACGGGTGGAGGGAGAGGTATTTCCCCTTCTTCCCACTACAAGTAAATCCCTGCGCATCTCAGCAAAGGTCTGATTGTCAAGTCCTTAGGGGAAGCACGCACACCAAACACTGTTTTTCTCTGGCATGAATGCAAGTGAAGTTTACAGGCTCTGCTCACACACGCTCTGTAAACAATTGACAAACTCGGGCTGTCTCCACAAGAGTCCATTACAAAGGACATTCCAAACGCTTGCCCTGGGGTGGGAGGGATCCCCATCCCAGGCCTTCCCAGAGGCTCAGCCCTCTGGGGCCACCCACTCAGCAGCAGAAAGGAGGGCCGGCCCCCATGGCCCAGGGACTGCCAAGGAAGCCCCTGGGCCTCCCTCTTCTCTCAGGCATCTGGGCCCTCTCCCCAACTCTCCCACCAAGTTGTGTGAGCCCTCCCCCCTCACGTCCCCTCTCCTGGGCACCTGCCCCTGCAGGACCATGAAAAGATGGGGCTCATCTAGGTGACCGACGATCTTTTCCCCTCCAAGTTCTGGACTTGGGTGGGTTTGCTCCACACTGGCTATCCCTCTCCCAGCAATCCGTCTGGGGCGGGCACGGGGGAGGGGGCGGCGGGGAGACCCCGTGGGGCCTACGGTCCTACCTGCTTCGGGATCGCTGGGCCCGCAGACGCCTTGGCCTCGGATGAGCGCGTGCAGCGGCCGGGGCTCGTCTGGCCGCGCTCGGCAGCTGAGGCCCGTGGCGCAGCGCGCAGTGACCACCCCGCAGGCGGCGCCCTGTGGCAGGGCGCACATCGGGCAGCAGCCGCAGCTGGCGGGCGGGGCGGCCTCAGCGCACGAGTCGGGTACCGGAGGGCAAAGCGCGAGCTTCTCCGCGGAGCAGGGCGCGCAGTGCCATGGCTGGGGGGCGCCCGCCGTCGTCCCCGGCTGGATGGCCAGCAGGAGCAGAAGCGGCCAGGCGCAGGCCGCGGGGAGCTCAGGCATCATGGAGCAGGGGCGGCGGACAGAGGCCGGTGCTGGCGGGACCTGGCGAGCGAGCGGTGGCCAAGTAGCCGGTGCTGGAGAGGCAGCCGATGCCGGATGCTCGAGGCTCCGATACTCGCTGGGAGCCGCGCGCGCCTTATAAAGGGTGCCGACCGCCCTCCCCTCCCCCCTGAACGCGGGGTTAATGATTGCCGGCGCTGCGAGCTGGCCGCTGGTGTTCAAAATAAGTTTGGGGGGAAAAAAAAAGTTTGTTTTGCTCCAGCGTCCGAGGGCCTGCGCAAATGGTGGGCGGAGGGAGGGTTGCTGGTCCAGGTTTCCGACTGTGTTTGTGCTGCTCCGGCTCCCACGGGGAGCCAAAGTGCAATTCTAACCGGGAGTGCACAGCCCGCTTGTTTTGTTCAAGGGACATCCCCCTGCCCAGCCGTTCGCGGGCTCCTCCTGAACAGCCCCAGGGACAGCTGGAGAGATCGGCTGGGCAAGGCCAACCCCCACCACGGCTGGTTTTCAAAGGGGGAAACCAAGGCCCAGGGAGAGGAAGGGAGGCACCCCTGGCCAGTTTTCAGTGGGGCAAAGCCCTGATTTGCTTCTCCCTCTGCAGGCCGAAGTCCTCCAGCCACGGACCTGCACACATCACGGCCTTTCCAAGGAGGGAGGGTGGAAGGAAAGGGACAGCTTCCCCCCCAGGGCTGGAGCCAAGCCCCCCAGTGTCACCGAAGCCTCCAGAGACTGACCGTGTCCCTGTCTTCCAGAGAAGAGCGGGACTCGGTCCATGCAGAGACGGGGCCGGGGCTGCACCATGGAGCCCAGACCCCAGGTTTCTTCTTCTGACTTTCTGGTTCAGACCCAAAAAAAAATTTTTTTTAAGATTTATTTATTTTAGGGCGCCTGGGTGGTTCAGTGGTTAGGGCCTCTGCCTTCGGCTCGGGTCATGATCTCAGGGTCCTGGGATCGAGTCCCGCATCGGGCTCTGTGCTCAGCAGGGAGCCTGCCTCCTCCTGTCTCTCTCTGCCTGCCTCTCTGCCTACTTGTGACCTGTCAATAAATTAAAAAAAAAAAAAATCTTAAAAAAAAAAAAAGATTTATTTATTTTAGAGAGACCAAGAGGTACTGGGCAGGGGCTGTCGGAGGAAAAGAGAATCTCAAGCAGGCTCCCTGCTGAGCTCAGAGCCGGACACGGGGCTCGATCTCACAACCCTGAGGCAATAAACCAAGAGTCAGACGTGCAAACAACTGAGCTGCCCAGGCACCCCATCAGACTAAATTTCTATCAGGAGCTTTTTTCTTTTGTGAAATTCTCGGGTATTCTTGGGTGTCTCAGGGGTTATTTCTTGGATATTCTCTGGCGTTGCAAGAAAAATGTCACTGTACCTTTAAAGGCAGTGGGAAGTGGGCCTTCTCGTCCCTGGGACATACAGGTGCCCTTGTGCACTCCCGGTCCCTAGAAACTAGGCAGCCGTTCACAAGAAGGAGGAAGCTCCACACTTACTAATGGAGAAAATCTCCAAGATTTGGTGAAAATTTGCAAGTTAAGTATAATTTCCAAGTGAAGCAAAATGAGGAGGTACAGGAATGTCTGGGTGGCTCAGTCCGTGAAGCCTCTGCCTTCGGCTCAGGTCATGGTCCCAGGGTCCTGGGATCGAGCCCCGCATCGGGCTCCCTGCTCAGTGGGGAGCCTGCTTCTCCCTCTCCTTCTGTCCCTCCCCCTGCCCTTGCTCTCTCTCGAATACATAAATAAATAAAATCTTTTTTTAAAAAGATGAGGAGGTACAGAATATGCAGTTTGTGTCCAAAGAAAGTTATACGAACATACATGTCAGCATGTTTCTAAATTTATGGACTATCTTGGGAGGAATACATAAGAAACTCATGCCAGGGCCTCCTTGGTGGGGAGGGGTGCGAAATCAGGGAAAGAGGGAGGACCAGTTTGCCCCGTGCTCACTGTCCTCCTGCTGGATTTGTATTATCCGGTAAATGCTACAGTATTTTGTACGCTCGTAACTTGTGTTACCTTTCTACTCTCCATCTCAAGAGTAACCCCTTTACAATGAATTTACTCACTCTGTTTGCAGCCGCCTCACCGGGCTGCTGGCTTGGGGTAACACCTTGGTTTCTGCTCTGTTCTGAGCCTGACCCCAGCTCTAGCAAATATGAAAACAAGGTCGGCGGAAATCATTGCAGTTGGAAGTTCAAGGTCATGTTTCTCATTATTTTTACAGAGTAAAGGTCAGTGTCTGGTTAAAGAGGCCACCGAGGTTTTCGACTGGCTGAGCCTTATTTTTGGTGTAGGTTCCTAAATGATTTCATTTCCGAAAGAAGAATCTGTGCTCTGAATTTCCTCTGACTTCCTCCATTTAGGATCTGGGTGTCCACCTGAGATGGTCCCTTAATGACGCACAAGCAAAAGGGCATCATCGGGTAAACATTCAGGGCCCGCATTCTGTGTGTGGGCCGGTGCCCGCCCTGGACAGTTCACCCTGTTGTGCACTTGCCCGGTGAGGCCCTCACCCCCACCCCAAGTCTCGCTTGTTCAGCACGTAGTGGAAGTTCCTCTCCATGTAAATCGATTCCCAAATGTTTCCACTGTTTGCCTCACAGTTGCCACAAACCAAAGCCCGGAGAGAGCACTCTCCCCTTCTCTGGCCACAACAATACAATGGGACTGTTCCTCCTGGAGACCTCTGTGGGCCGTGCCTGTCTGTCCGTCCTGGGGGTGGCTGCTCCTGAGTGCATCTGTGAGTCCTGGGTCTTGCTGCCCCTGGTGCCTTGCCTTCCACACCCCCAAGTCCGTGCCTCAACTTCCATGACCCCCAATCAGAGTTCCAGTCATCCCTCCTAGGCACTACAGGGCGCCCCTCCTCACTGGAGTGTTGTGCCTTCAGAGCCGTACCTGCCTCCTCAATCCTGTGGACTCCTGCTCATCGTCCAGCCCTGGTGTCCCCACCCCGCCCTGGAGAAAGTCACTGCCACGTCTCCTGACGCCCTCCTCACTGTGCTTCCTGCCATGATCTCCAGCCCCCTCCCCTGTCCACCTCCCTCTGCACCACCATCCCGCTGTCCAACATCCACCTCCTAGGCACGTTCTTCCAGGGCTCTCCCTGACCCCCTCTGAAGCCACCCCTCGAACAAAGGGCCCTTCCTCCCAGCACCCTGTCCTCCCCCCCACAGAGGACATGCAGAGCGTGGGAGCCATTCTCACAGCTTGTGGCAGGTGTGGCCCGGGTAAGGGGGACCGGCTAACCCACAGCCTCATGCTGCCTGGCGGGAGGAGAGGGCACCGATTATAAGCTGGTGCTGGAGATAAGTGCTTTCCTGGAGAGTCCAGAGTGTGGTGGCAAACAGCAGGACAGAGGGCACTAAGCCACGCTTGGGCACTTCCCACAGAAGCTCCAGCCAAGGCAGGTGCTGGAGGGGAAGCAGGGCCTCCAAACAGCAGAGGATGGGCCTGTGGTGCAGACGAGTGGGTGAGGCGGGGGACGGGGAAGCGGGCCGTGTGTTCAGGGAAGGACCCAGCGCTCTCCTGCCTAGTTGCTGGAATGACAGCAGAGGGAACAGGTGGGAAAGGCTCTAGATACGGTGCCACGGGTTCGGGCAACCGTGGGAGGATTTAGCAGGTCCAGGGGTTCAGAGGTCAGAAGGGAGCTCAGGAATGATCCAGGGGGGCAGGCCTGCAGACCAGAGACCAGTGCTGAGACCATCCCGCTGATGTCCTTTCAGGCCGCATCCTGGGACAGAGTGCAAGCCAGCCGCACTGGAGACGCAGCCCTGCTCTCAGAGATCTGATCGGAGAACAGTCCACGCACACGTCCACAAGTGTCTCCAGGAAGGAAAGGGCAGCTGGTTCGGGGAGGGGTGCTGCTGGAGGGAGGGTCTGCGGGGCTGGAGCTGAGCAGACACAGCTGGAGCAGGGACAGCCACCGCCCAGCGCCCTGTCCCTCGGGAAGCAGGGCACAGTGTCTCCACGGACCGTTTCCTGGGCTTGGTTCCATTTTCCCAGTGTGGGTCTGGATTCCCAGAACTCCTGCTGCCCTTTCTCCATCCCTTGGGAGCCACTGAATGTCCTCTTCTCTGAGGAGCCTTGCTGGGGGTTCTTCTGTGTCTCGAAAGCGTGCGACACGCCGGACCGGCCGTGCTGAAGGGCCAGGTAAGCCTGAGCTTGCCTGGGGGTCTCCCGCCAGGCTGGGAGGGCAGAGTGGGGCTCACAGGGCCCCCACACCCTGCACAGGACACTGATGGGGGACCCCCACTCAACTGACCAGTGATGGAGAGCAGGGGTGGGGGGCTGGGGAGCCGGGGTTTCACGGACCTACTTGGCCCAAATCGAAACCTGCAGGCATCTGATTTTGGAGTGGGGGGCCACCAACCACCAGCTCAGTGGGATTCAGGGCTGTACTGGGGGGACAGGATGGAAAGGTGGGTGTGGGAGCACAGAAGGGACGTTTTCTGTCCCGAGTATGGACTGTGTTACATCTACTCGGCAAGAAGGAACATCAACCCTGGGGAGCCCCAGCCACAGAGAGACACCCACCCCGCCTCCCGGGGTGCACGCTATGCTTGCAGAGGAAGGCAAAGCCCTGCTCCTGGCTCGGACAGGCAGAGCCAGTGGCCCACAGCTGGCAATCCCTCCGCGTGACCCCAGGGGCAGGCATGACTGCGCCCAGCGTCTCTGCCAGTTCCTTCCTAACTCCGCACACGCATGGGCCCCTGGCTGCCGGAGCTGCTGGGCCAGGGGTCACCTGCTGTGCGGAGGGCTGTGGGGGGGCGGGGAGAGGGGCAGGTTGGGGAGGTGCGGGGCCTGCCTGGCTAGTCCTCCTGTGTTGGCACCTTGGATCTCCATGTCCTGGACCCTCGTACCACGCCCTGGGCCTCCGTTTCCCGGCCCTCAAGAGGGCACTGGGAGCCCTGAACAAAGGGGTCGTCACCTCCACCACCCTGAGCGGCACCCTGTGTCCCCGCGGCCGCTATGGGCAGAGACGGGATGTCTCCAGATGATGAAACCTCACAGGCCCTCCCGTCACAGGTGGGTCTGTCCCGCCCACACACCGCACACCACTTTCTTACCAGCAGCAGTGGGAGGTTGGGCA